TCAAATAAGAAATCAGGAAGGCTTCAACCCTCCCAGCCGTGAGGCCCGAGTGACCCGCTGAACCTCGGGTTCCTGATCTGTAACACGGTGACACTGGACGTGACACAGGAATCGACATGGGACAGCAGCACACGTGTGCCACACAGAGCTGTCATGCCCCGGCTTCCACTCCTCTCCTTGTGTTTCAGAATGAGGACTTTAGAAATCATAAAAGCAGGACCAGCAGTTGGTGTAATGGCTATGTCGCTGGACTCCACCACGGTTCGAGTCCCAGACCCGGTGGCTTAAACTCAAGCCGGGCGCATGTGTATGTGTGCCCAAGATCCTGAGAGGAGATTGGAGGAGAAGGGACTGCAGCGTAGCCATCCCCCTGGGGGGTGATTTCTCGCTTTCTGTCTCTGTCTCTGTCTTTCTAGCAAGCGCATGCGCCCTTACACCAAATAAAAACTCTCAGAAAAAAAAAAAAAAAAAGAAAGAAGTAAAGAAATCACAAAAGCTTAAAGACCCAGCCCTGCAGTTAAGGTGTCGGCTCCAGAGAAAAGCGACCACAGTGCAAGACACACGGACGGCGCTTCCTTACGGCAGAAGTAAGGCTCGCCGACCCCTCCCATGCTTGTTTTTCAGTGTTTGTGTTTCAGTTTTTGCTATAAGATGCATGTGCTTACCCGGGAGAGACAGATGACAGAGAAAAGGACAGCGAGAAATCACCCCCCAGGGAGAAAGCCACACAGCAATCCCTTCTCCTCTATTCTCTTCTCGGGATCCTTTAGACACACACGCACATGCACCTGGCATGATTTTCAAGCCACTGAGTCCAGGACTTGAACTGTGGTTGATCATGTGGGAGTCCAGTGATGCAACCACAACACACCACTGCCAGCCCCCAATCTGGTGTGATTTTAAGCCACTGGGTCTGGGATTAGAACTGATGAGTCAGTCTTGAGGGATCTAGTGCCTTAACCTCCATGCCCGCTGCTGGCCCCCAAAGCTTGTTTTGTTCATTTGTATTTAAAGAATTATTTATCTAATTTTATTTATTATCACTATTGTTGTTTTGGGGCCAGTAGTTGGCGTAATGGCTATGTCGCTGAACTCCCACGTAGTTGACTGCAGTTTGAGTCCTGGACCCGGTGGTTTAAACTCATGCCAGGCGTGTGGATGTGCATGCCCAAGATTCCGAGAGGAGAGGTGAGGAGAAGGGATTGTGGCATGGCCGACCCCCTGCGGGGTGCTTTCTCGCCTTCTGTCTCTCTTCTCTCTGTGTCTGTCTGGCGAGCGCACGTGCCCTATAGCAAAAACCTCTCCAAATATATTAAAATTATTATTGTTTAAATTTGCTATAGGACTTGTGTGCTTACCAGAGAGAGAGAAAAAGAGAGAGAGAGAAAGTAAGAAAGCAAACTGCCAGGTCTGGGATTTGAACCACGATCAGCCGTGGGAATCCATCACCTTAACCACCGTGCCACCTGCTGGCCCCCTACACTTATTTTTAAACCCAGCACAGAAAGCATTTGGAAGCAAGCTAAGCAGGAGGAGGGCACTGCCCATCAGGGGCCAACAAGACAAAAGGAGACCCAAGAAGAAAAGGTGTCATTTTCTCTTGCCCCGTAGAGAATGAGCTTGTCAGCTTCAGAAGGAGGGAAATCGAGACGTCAAAGGGGGTGCCCTTACCCCAAGGCTTGTCTAGACCCCAAAGCACCACTGTGGAGCCCTTCCACTCTCCAACGGGCCACGGGACTGTTGAGGGCAGTCGGCACACGATGCCAGGCTGGGCAGTGCACTTCCCCCCACACCTGGTAATAATCCTGCCCCGCCTGCGTCCAGCCAGGGCTATGCTCGTAGGGGAGAGGGCTGGCCCGTGGGCCTCCTCGGAGTTCACAGTTCATGGCAGGGCATCCACTGAATGTACCACCACTCCTGGCCCTGCAAACTGGGCAAAGCCACCTTCAGACCCCAGTCCACACTTGTGACAATTCCACACAACTGTTAAAGAGGGTCAAGTGAGGGACCAGTGGATGGTGGAATGGTTACGTTGCTGGACTCCCACATGGTCAACTCAAGTTCAACTCAAGTTCAACTCGGACCAGGCAGCTTGAAACTCACACCAGGAGCGTGTGTGTGTGTGTGTGCCCAAGATCCTGAGAAGAAAAGGGATCATGGCATGGCCATACCCCCTTGGGGGTGCTTTCTCGCTTTCTGTCTCTCTGTCTCTCCAGGAAGCAGATGCATCTTACAGCAAAAATGTATTTAAAAAAACAAAACAAAACAAAACAAAACAAAACAAAACAAAGCCAGCTAGCTGGTGGCATTGAGATTAAGGGGCGGGATCCCACATGGCCAACTACGTGATTCGAGTCCCAGACCTGGCAGCTTAAAATACGTACTAGGTGCATGTACATGTATGCCCAAAGTCCCGAGAGGAGAATAGAGAAGGGATTGCTTTCAGCCCTCCTGAAAGGTACTTTCTCACTCCCCACCTCTCTCTGTGTCTCTCTCTCTCTCCAGTGAATGTACATGCCCCTAGCAGATTAAAAAAATAATAAAAGATAGATAGGGACCAGCAGTTAGCATAATGGCTATGTCTCCAGACTCCCATGTAGTCGATTGCGGTTCGAGTCCCGGACCTGGTGGCTTAAACTCACGCCGGGTGCATGTGCATGCATGCCCAAGATCCCGAGAGGAGAATGGAGGAGAAGGGATTACGGTGTGGCCATCTCCTGTGGGGGGTGATTTCTTGCTTTCTGTCTCTCTGTCTCTCTCTGTCTGGCAAGCGCATGTGCCCTATAGCAAAAACCTTTCAAAAAAAATATATAATAAAAGATAAGGAGATAAAGTGACAATAAAATATAGATCTGTAAAGGGAACTTCTTTTTTAAAAATAATTATTTTAATTTAATTTATTATTATTTTTACTTTTGAACTTCCTATAAGGCACAACCAGTTACCAGAGAGAGAGACAGACAGACAGACAGAGAGAGGGAAAGTGAGAAAGAAGCCGCCAGGTCCAAGCCACCGTGGTCAGCCATGTGGGAATCCAGTGCCTCCACCACCTCACCACCTGCTGGCGCCAAGAAACTTCTTTTTCTTAAAAATCAAAAAAACAGGGCGAGCTGAGAATTCAGGGGACAGAACGTGCTTACGTGGTTAAAGCCACCGTCAGCACCCCCTTAGGTAAAAGGGAGCAAATGTACTTCATGGAACGGGGACAGGAGCCCAGACACAAGCCCAGCGCGGCATCCCTGCAAGGGCCACCGTGCAGGCCTGCCGGTTTAGATGGCGGCCTCTGGCACGGGAATTCTTGGCCTTGAGACCACGTGCTGCCTGTCTCCCCGGGCTCAGTTTACAAAGCATGCTCGATGCATCCCAGGCTGGCTCCGTGGAACAGACGTAGGGCGAGGGAGGAGTTACCGTGCCTGCCTCGATTTCCAACCCATCGGCTGCTCAGTCCACTACATCCTACGTGCTCCACCGACAAGGTCTCTGTTACCCACGTGGCTGTGCTTCAGGTGGCCTCTGGGACGACAAAGGCTAGCCCAGAAGCGAGTGCAGGTGCAGGGCGGGACTCACCGCTTTGGCGGACTCCAGGGCTCCCGAGGCCAGCGCGTCCCTGCTGCCCCGGTTCTTGCTGCTGAGGTGGGGGGAGGAGGAGGGCGAGTCGTCGATATAGGGCAGCCCTTCCTGGTGCCGGCGCTGCTCCTCGGCCCGGTCTGCCGCACAGCCGTACCCGGGTGGCGTTCCGAACGAGGCATCTGCGTGAGCAAAGCACGGGCCAGCATTAGGGACTGCAAAGGGGGCCAGAGGGCCGTCTGCCTGGGAGTGTCCACACCTCCCCTGACCAAGCAAGGACCCACGCTGACATGCCCCCTGTTAGCCACAGGCATCTCACAGGGACCTTGGATCCACTGATGTCATCTTTACCCCCAACTTGCCAAAGACCGTGAGGGGCAGAGGGAACACTCAATTCTCACACCATGTCACTGCCGAGGGAGGGAGGAGGAATGGCGGTTTGCTCCCCAGATGATACGACACAGGTTTCTTTTTTTGGAGAGGTTTTTGCTATACGGCTTGTGCGCTCGCCAGAAAGAGACAGACAGAGAGACAGAAAGCAAGAAATCACCCCCCAGGGGGGATGGCCATGCCGCAATCCTTTCTCCTCCATTCTCCTCTCGAGATCTCGGGCATGCACGCCCATGCGCCTGGCATGAATTTAAGCCACCGGGTCCGGGACGCAAACCGTGGTCGACTACGTGGGAGTCCAGCGACTTCGCCATTCTGCTAACTGCTGGTCCCTGAGTTGTCGCCTTTCATTAAACACTGGTCATCTGGGGGCCAGCAGGTGGCGTAATGGTTATGTTGCTGGATACCCATGTAGTAGACTGTGGTTCAAGTCCTGGACCCTGGGGCTTAAAACTCATGCCAGGCGTGTGTGTGTGTGTACATGCCTGAGATCTTGAGAGAAGAATAGAGAGGGGACCGTGGGGTGGCCATGTCCCTGGGAGGTAATTTCTCACTTTCTATCTGTCTCTATCTCTCTGTCTCTCCGGTGAACACACAGGCTATAGCAAAAAACTCTTAAAAAAAAAACAAAACTGAAAATCTAGGGGCCAGCAGATGGTGTGGTGGGTAAGGGCTAGACCCCTACACTGCTGACTGTGGTTTGAGTCCCAGACCTGGCGGGTTGCCTTCTCACTTTCCCTTTCTGTGTCTCTCTTGAGTGAGTATACATGCCTTGTAGAGAATTTTAAAATAATAAAAATAACAAATAAAATAAATATATATTTTTAATTGGTTATCTGGGAACCAGCAGGTGGCATGGTAGTTAAGGCACTGGGCTTCCACGTGGCCGACTATGTGGTCTGAATCCCAGACATGGTGGTTCGCTTTCTCACTTTCTCTCTCTCTGGTGACTGCATGTAACCAATAGCAAATTTTAAAATAATAATAATAATAATAATTAATAATTTTTTAAAAAAGAAAAAACCTAGTAGAATATTCAATAGTTTCCCTGAGTTCTCTGAGCTGTCCTAGCAAACGATCAAACTCCAGGAAGGGGTCCTGGGAACCTCGAATTTACGACTGGCAGACAACCCAGACACGTGACTGGCACCTGACGTTTGGGGAGTCTTATGGGACTGAACCTTTACCTTGTGGGCTATGAAGCTAACTCCAGGGAGATGGTGTCAGAATTGAGTGTTCAGACCCTGGTACTTCCACCTGGTTCCCACAGCAAACTGGAGAACTGTTTGCTGTGGGGGAAAAAACCCGTCAGACACCTAAGAGTCCCGTGATGAGTCTAAGTACAGAGAGAAGGTTGGTTTTTCCCATAAAGGGTGCCCAGGGTACTGCAGAAAGAGGGACCCCAAAGACTAGCATCCGGCGGTCTGGATGTTCCTTGCACACCCACCTGTGGGGACCTGACAGGGTGAGGGACACAGGCCAGCTAGCCTGGGAGCAAGTCCTGGCCATAAACCATGAGTCCCACCAAACACGCCTCCCATCTGCTGAAATCCCAGACCATCTTTACCCCAATCCTGGTACCCCACGAGGGCAAAGCATGGCTTGTTCTATAAAACACTCTCTCCCGTTTGGGACCCTCTAGTTAAAGGGGGTAGCACACCCCTCTGGAAGGCACCTGAAGACAGAACCGTGCCTCCTCCCAGGCTGAAGGACCAAGGCCAGCATGTGTTTTCAGGCCTTTGGCTGTCTGCGATGCCTCTATGGACAGTTCCCAGTTTGAGTTTTCTTTACTTCCTTAAAGTTTTTCCTATTGGGGATGCGAGCTCCTTAAGAGAGATGGAGAGGGACAGAGAGAGATCTGAGAGAGAGAGAGTGAGAAAGAACCCAGGGAGAGACAGCCAAGCCAACGATCCTTTCTCCTCCATTCTCCTCTTGGGACTCTGTGCCCAGTGTGTTCCTCAAGCTGCTGGATCTGAGACTTGAACTGCACAGTTGGCCACATGGATCCAGCTGCCTTAACCACCACCCCACCAGCTGGCCCCTTTTCTTTTAAGTTTATTTATCTCTTCCATGAGCTCTTAGGGAGACAGCACCCTCAATAGGATCCGAATGCTACACTTCACCCCAAGCCATAGCCAGCCTAGAACACGGGTACACACGTGTCCAGCACACTCAGGACATGAACCCGGGACCTTTCCATGTGGGTCAGACTTCCAGTATCGTGTTTTACCACCACACCACCACCTGGGCCCTAGCTTGAAGTTTTCCTTTTTTAAAAATTATTTTATCTAATTTTATTCATTATTATTATTATTAATTTTTTTGGAGAGGTTTTTGCTATAGGGCGCGTGCGCTCACCAGAAAGACAGAGACAGACAGAGAGACAGATGGGGGGGGGATGGCCACGCCACAATCCCTTTTCCTCCATTCTCCTCTCGGGATCTTGGGCACACATGCACACACGCCCAGGGTGAGTTAAAGCCACGGGGTCTGGGACTCAAACCATGGTCAACTACATGGGAGTCCAGCGACATAGCCATTTCACCAACTGCTGGTCCCATTATTATTATTACTTTAACTTGACCAGAGAGAGACAGGGAAAGTGAGAAAGCAAGCCACCAGGGCTGGGACTCGAACTGCAGGAGGCCATGTGGGAGTCCAGCTACTTGTCTGAGTTTTCTAATCAACTGAACCTTCCACACAGACATCAATCCATAGGACCCAGCCCACTCCTTGTCTTACATGAAGATGCTTCTCCATTCCTTCCAGGGGGCACCTCTGTGGCCCTCGGGTTTCCTGGGAAGTCACCCTGACGGGGCTCCATCACTTTACGACTCACTTGCCAGCAGCCCTGCTCAAAGGTCATCACCACGGGTGACCCTGGCATTCACTGACAAGTTTACAATCGTCACCAATTGCACCCAGGCCAGGTGGGCACGGGGCTAGCTGTAAGTTTTTGGAGCCCGCCCAGCAAATTCCAAAGGGGAACTGTTTTCAGTTCTTCCTGCCCAGACAGCTCGGAGGAGCCACGTGGTTAGACCAGCAGCTGCCCACCTGTCCCCACCAACCATGGTGCCGATGGATGGCAGAAGACCCGGCTTCCTCGCATGGCTCCGCTTCTCCCAGGCTCTCCACCTCTGTGTTCTGGCAGGGCTCTGCACCCTCTAACAAGTGTCCCCAGCCAAGACTGTGCGTCAGCCTCACCTGGGGACCTGCAAAACACAATGTGGCCAATCCAACGCCGACCAGCTCAACCCAGGTCTCTGGGAGTGACCTAGGTCTGGTGTCTGTAAGGGGATTCCAGGCAGCGAGGCCGGAGACCCCTGAGTTATCTCACCTGGCTGGTGGCCACGTCAACCTGCAGCATGGCCCAGGTGCCGGCACGTAGCTGCTAACCTCAGAGGCCAGGTTGGTTTCTGGCTCAGGGAGCGTCCACAGGAAGATGGCCACAAGGGATAGGTCCTAGGCAGAGAGTAGTATCTGGGCTCCTGAGGGCATCCCAAGAGCTGAGTTCCTACTGAGTCCCACAGCAACCCCTACAGAGGACCCTGGGCTCCTTAATCCACGGGACGTAAGGGGCTGCAGGTACCGAGAACACCATGTGGGTTACCAGTGCTCAGTTCTGCGGGCCCTCGGGTCAGGGAACAAGGCTGCTCTGAGAACGACGGCGTGGCTTTCCCTTCTTGTTTGCCATAGGGTGCGTGTGCTTGCTGGAGAGAGACAGAGACAGGGAGAGTGAGAAATCACCCCCCCGGGGGGATGGCCACGCAGCAATCCCTTCTCCTCTTGGGATTTGGGGCATGCACCGCACGGTGCCTGGTGTGAATTTTAAGTCACTAGGTCCGAGGCTCAAAACGCAGCTGGCCGTGTGGGAGCCCAGCATCTTAACCACCACACCTCCTGCTGGCACACAGCAGTGTGGCTTTCTGGGAAGTGTGGCTCTGTCCTGCCCTGGGGCTAGCAATCTACGGGAGCGAGGGCAGGTCACTGAAACACCCAGGCTTCAGTTACCTTGACTTTAAAGGCACATGAACTAGACAATGGATAAAGTTTCATGAGCTCTGAAACACTGCTATCATTATTATTTATTTTTTAGATGTTTTTGCCTTCGGATGTGTGCATTCACCGGGGAGAGAGAAAGAGACAGAGAGACAGTGAGAGGGAAAGTGAGAAATCACCGCCTGGGGTGATGGCCATGCATGCTGCAACCCCTTCTCCTCCTGAGATCTTAGGCATGCACGCACACACACCTGGCATTAATTTCAAACCACTGGGTCCAGGACTCTAACCATGGTCGGCCGTGTGGGAGTCCAGCAACCTAACCACTATGCCATCTGCTGGCCCGCTGTTCATTGTTGTTGTTGATGTATTTATTTCCTAAGTGAGAAGAGGGAAAGAACGGGGAGGAGGCAGGCATCTCCACACCCCAACAGGATCTTCATGCCAGGACCCTTTCTCTACTCCTGCAGCCAGTGAGGACCATGGGCACCCACAGCGTTTGGGAAGACCCAGGGCATGAACCGGGAAGCTTCCAATATGGTGTCCAACACTGAGCAGCAGTGCCCAGACCTGTCTGTGCCCTATTGTCACCATCTGAGAAAGGCTCCCCTTCTCTACCTTCACACCCAGTCTCTTCCAACAACTTCCTCACTCTGGTCCCCTAGAAAGATTTTTGTTATAGGCCATATGCGCTCGAGGAGAGACAGAGACAGAAAGTGAGAAATCACCCCCCAGCAGGGAAGGCCACGTCATAATCCCCTTTCCCCCATTCTCTTCTCAGGGACTTGGGCAA